TTGCAATTTTTCCTGCCAATCATCATCATCATCATCATCATCATCATCATCATCATCATCATCATCACTGATTTTTTTATTTATTGTTATCTATATCATTCCTTCTATTATTATTATTATTATTATTATTATTATTATTATTATTATATATTCATTGAGCGTTCAAACGAGCCGTAACTGGCGGTATCAACGGGAGTATCAAGTGACCGCAAGTCACTTCAATATGCCACGTTTTTGGCACTGTTTCTGGTACTCTGATTATGACTAGCACCACCGCCGCCCACTCTTCTTCTTCTTCGTATTATTATTATTATTATTGTTGTTGTTGTTGTTGTTGATGCTGTTGTTGTTGTGGCTGTTTCCATTATTATTATTATTATTATTATTATTATTATTTTCTCTTTTCTTTCAATATTTTATTTTATTACTATTATTATTGTTACTATATTTATCAATATGACTAATATTGATTATTATCAATGCTATTATACTTTTCATGTTATTAAAATAATATTTTTCTTGCTTTCTACATTTTTATTTTATTACATCCCTTCTTTTTCTTCTTTTTACTTCTCTCTCTCGCTTACTCCTCCTCCTCTTCCTCCGTTTTCTTATTATTATCATTCTTATTCCTCCCGCTCCCCCTTCTTCTTCTTCTTCTTCTTCTTGTGACTACAGCCAATCGTGATGATAATGGCCCCTGTTCTTCTACATTTGTTGATCTTGGCCTTCGTGCGAAAATTACTATGTCGTCTCATCGGGCGTCTCGGGTTAGTTCGTCCCTCGAAGCGAGTCGTTTCGGCTCGCATCGATTTGCATGGATCGAACGGCGTAATTCATTTGCATAAATAAATTTGCATATATTATGAAGATTCGGCATTGCGTTATTTGTTGTTGTTGATAAGTGCCATGTCGAAACACGTGATTTTATTGGCACATTGTTACCCGGATGTCCAGCCACATACCAACACGCACGCACATAAGTACATACTAACAGACATACATAGATACGCAAACATTGGTCTATATAACATATGCATACATGTGTACGCAAATGCGCACATTTATAAAAAAAAATGTATTCATGCACGCATAGATATGTCACTGTAGTGTAAGGGTTAGCAAACTAATATTGCAAAGCTGTATGTAGTGAGTTTGATTCTCACGATGTGCCACACAATTACTGGATTATATCTAAATTTAATAAATCATTTTATAGGTGAATGTCTGCATACGTACGATTTTTGTCTACATATATTTCTTTAATTTTTTGTCAGTCTTTTGTTTTTTCTTGACGCCCCCTCGTTCCTCTCTCTTGTCTCATGTCTACTTGACATAACGCAACGATATATCTCTCTGATAGCTGCTTTTGCCACAGTAGCCTCGAAGACCAATATATATATATATATATATATATATATATATATATATATATATATATATATATATATATATATATATATATATATATATATATATATTTTACATCAGCAACATGTCAAAAAACGCTACACAAATGCAGTCGTATTTAGATGCGAATCAACATCTCATCAGGTGTTAGTAAATAACTAATATATATATATATATATATATATATATATATATATATATAAAAAAAGTAGGCACTGAGATCAACACACCTATCACAGTCTCTTTGATGCTTAAACGCAAGATTCAGGCTATGGCGTTAAGTGTGCACATTTATATTTTATATCTATATACGATCTATCCCTAATAGTAAGGTCATTACCCATAAATTTAGTATATCTTAAAATTATATCTGTCTCATATATATATATATATATATATATATATATATATATATATATATATATATATGTATGCATGTATGTATAACTTTTAAAAGAGTTTTAATACCCGTGAGCATTTAGCAGCTCAGGGGTAGAAAGACTTGTTTATCACATCTAATGCCCCAAAAAACAAACTTGTGACCTTACACCATCACCGATCGGACCCCAAATGTTCGCAAATCGCGAAGAACGGGTGTTACCTCAAGAATTCCCCGTGCGTTGTGCACCTATTGAAACTTAAACTTGGCCCAGACCCCTCAAGTGGGACTCGTACATACCATCGATCACTAAAGATGCTGGAAAAATGATCGGTTCCCTGTTCTGCTCCAGCAAGTACCTCACTCCCCACCCTGCAAATCTCCTACCTTTACAAGACCCAGATCCGACCGAAAGTGGAGTATATCTGCCATATATGGGCAGAAGATGGCCAGTCTTCATTTTCCACTCTCGAAAGAGTCCAAAAGCGTCTCCATTCCCTTGTAGGGGACGAATTATTTTCCACCCATTTATTCTTATTATTTTCCATGGTTAGTGTTCAGATGAACTAAACTCCTTAGTTCCACCAGTCCTAACCTTCATGGCTAGGACCCACCATGACACTCATATTGTACGGAAGCACACTCATTCCCTTTGTATTTCCCTAAAAAGATCTAAGTTCCAATCAAGCAGTTTCTTCCCACTTCCTTATT